GTGAGGTGACGCTCCATTGATAGTCAGTGGTGCTTAAAGTTCAACTTGGCCTATTATGTGAATACTTATAGCTGAGGCTCAGTTGTCATTGCTGAAATACAGCGTCTTACTAAACCATATTTCTTCTTTCTTTATGGATAAATTTCTGGGTTTTTACTCGTTAGCTATCCAAAAATATGTATGAAGGAAGTTGTTGAGAATCGGTCCACTGCAGCGTTATTTGAGACAAGTACACAACACTTAATCTCCAGTCTGTCTCTCTCTCTCGTGAGAACCTTATCCTATTCTTTCTTCAGAATTAGGTTGTATTTTATCACCTTAACATTTTGTACACTCATATTTATGAATATTCATTTTTGGGTAACGATAATGTTTAGAGTTGACAATATACTGTACTTTTATGCTAAACCACTTATTTGATATGGAGAGCAGTGATACAATATTGTCTGCTGGAGGATGTTTCTAGCACAATATTATCCTCATGAACATATGTTTCCTGAGCATCCGGATATTAACGGACTTGGCATGAAAGTTATTATTTATTTATTTTATTTTATTTTGGTTACGGCTTGATGCCACACTGTATTTTCAGTACAAGTATGGAATTTTCAGCACGGATATCGGTAGCCCAAATTATACAGGCCGACCATAGATATCGGGTGTGCGTCGGCAGGGGATCGAACCTCGGACCATATGCATGGTCGGCGAGAGTCCTAACCACTGTGCCACCGACGCAGTTTGGATATTGAAGGTGGCATTCTAACCATAAAGGGGATTAGAATTGTTAAATTACCTTTTTTTCATTTCTATAATGACTGAATGAAATATAGAGCTTCAAGCTTCGAAATTTCTGTGGCAGCGGTGTTGCTATTACGCCATAAGGTTGCTAGCCTCACTCCCAACCTACTCTCTTTTCTCGGCTTTCTACGGGCCAGCAAACTAGGCGAGCTTTACGAATGCAATGGCCAGGAAACAAAACCTGACCACCTGTGCAGTCGATGAGCATTCTGCCATTGATCCACTGATAAATTGATTGATTTATTCAAGTATTGGTTTTTAGGGATTTGACTGATTGGTTACAAGACTTTATCATGAGTGGACATCGGTTAGCAAATCACTGGAAAACCTGGGAGTACTAGACAGCTGTTTCGTCCTAGTTTGCGACTCTTCATCAGTACGCACCCAAACTGCGGGGTTCGAACCAAGGACCTTCCGATTACAAGGCGAGCTCGTAGACCATTAAGCCGCTGGGACCCGATCCAATGGCTGTTGAATTCCAACTTCTGTCAATTCACGACCACTAGCCAATGTCATCCATGGCGAGTATTTGTCCTAACGCCTGACCTGCTGTACCTACTGGTCTTGACTTCCCACCAGAACCCCAAGTAACTACCTACCTGAATAGGACCAGTCGCTAGTGAGCATCTCATTGAAATTCAAGTATTGGTTTGTAAGGATTTGATTGATTGATTGTTTTATTGATTTATAATTACTTGTTATGATTTAACCATTTTTATAAAACATATATTTGCATTAAAATGTGAATGACTGTATCATATGATTGCAGGTAAATTGATATCTTTGATTTCCATCTATGTCTTTTTATAGTGCATTACTCATGCATTTATAAATGTAGAAAAAAATTGACTAGGTCACTCTAGTGGAATCCAATATTTTCACTAATAAAGTACGATGTGAAATAGGATGCATAGTTACCCTACTTTTATAAATTCTTTAGTAAGTATATAACCAAATTAGAATTATCTGTTTGTATACGTATATCAAAAGATTCAAGCTAAAACAAAAGGTATTTAGTTGCAAGCAAAAGACACGAAATCATTTCGTAGGTACTTTCTACCCACCGTAGATATTAGTTACAGAAAAGTGAGACACACTAGCCGTAGGACAGTAGCTTCGAGTAAATCTTAACGAATAACTTTAGCATAATTATTGTTTTTAGTTGAAAAGCCACTTGAATGAACTAGACCAACAGAAGGACAATAACCAAAAATCTATGGTTTGACTTCATGTATTGCAGATTATTATTATCATTATTATTTCCTTTAATTCCTAGAGGAACATAGGGCTTCAACTGCACGTGTCTATTGCGTTCGGTTCTCTGTTAAAGTTTTCACCTGGCTCCAAGTCTGCCCACACGTTTTCATCTCCTCTTCACATGACCTCCTCCAAGTCACCCTTGCACTGACGACCAACTCGCCGCTTCCCTTTCGGTTTCCACTCAAGGGCTTGTCTAGTGATTTCACTTAGTGGTTTCCTCAGAGTATGGCCAGCCAATCCATCTCCATTTCTTCCTGCCTATTTGTTTCACAATCGGTTCGTGGATGGTTCGCTCATTGCCAGAGATCACTGTTGCTGATCTTTTATGGCCATCTGATCTTGAGTATTGAGCGAAGACAGCTGTTGATGAAAGTCTGCAGTTTGTTCGAAGTGCCTTTTGCGACTCACCAAGTCCCTGATCCGTATAGTAGCACTGACTTCACATTGGAGTTGAAAATCTGGATCTTATTTTTGATGCTGAGTGTTGTTGACCTCCACACAGACTTAAGAGTAGTGAGAGCTTGTCTTGCTTTCCCGATCCTTGCTTTGATACCCTCGTCAGTTCCGCCTGTAGTTGAAACGATGCTTCCCAGGTAGGTAAAAGAGGTTGTTTCTTTCAGGTTCCTCCCATTTATGCTGATTGTTGTCTGTTGTTGTTGTTGCTGTTGCCCAGGGATCTTCTGTTTTCTCTGTGTTTACTTGGAGTCCTCTTTGCTACTTCTGCCAACTTGTTACTTTTCACTTGCATATCTTCCAGTTTGTGGGAAATCAGACATATATCATCGGCAAAGTCCAGATCCTCCAAGCTTTTCGCGAGGGTTCATTTTATGCCTGTTTCCTTGCTGCCCGATGTCTGTCACATTATCCAATCTACCGCAATCAGGAAAATCATTGGCGATAGTAGGCAGGTAGCTTGTCTTAATCCTGTCTTTACTTCGAAGGATTCCGTAAGTTTCCCGTTGTGGATTACTTGACATGCAGCATTGCAGATAGACACCATTAAATAGCAGATTAAAACGATACAATTATTGAGTTCACAAATCTATCATCTAATATGAACTATTGACAGTAATCTATGGAACAGATGAGTAATCTAACACACAGTATGCAGCTGATAGGTTCCTAGTGTTCAATTTCGAAATAGAAGCATAATAATGTCGTGACTTTTTGCCCAGTAGCCACATAGGACTGATATACTTAGGGTGAGCTATCAGCTACATTGCTTTCTATCTGAGGCGCTAAAATCACGAATTGGTGGAAGTTAGAATTCATGGGCCAGTAGATGAATTGTATACCAGCTTGCCTTGTAACCAGAGGATCTTGGGTTGAACCCCAGTGGGTACGTACTGCCTATGAGTCCCAAACTAGGACGAAGCAGCTGTCCAGTACTCTCTGGTTTTCTAACTGATATCAATCCGTGGTCAAACTTGAAACAAAACAAATTCCTGCAAACTAACTCCTGAAAATGACTATAATTCATAAATACAACCCTGGCTTACAATGGTAGAATCTACTACCTTGGATTGTATATTTTCTCTGATCTTTCCTAGTCTTCCAACATCACGTTAGTTTCCAGAAAAATATTTCGTTTGACATTCTATATAAGGAAGTTAAGACGATCTGCTTTCATTCCGTCTCTACTGTTACCGTTCGGTAGTTCTTGTATTCTGCCTATGCTTCTTTACTGTTCCCCCTATAATCTTTCCCGAGTTACTTAAGAAAGACTTTGATATACTGCGTAGGACGCCAAAAGCCGCCAGTAGGGCGAGTGGGATGTTGCTAAACCAAGTCGTTAATACCATTGTTGATAGACACTTTGATTTCTGCAAGAAATTAGCAACTATTATACTGTCAGACTCTGAACATCCTCTCCATACACAACTCTCTCTTTTCTGCATCTCATCGGGTAAAACTACAAGCAGCTAGAGAAGACTGTATGCTCGGAAGACTAAGTACAAAAAAATCCATGATACCTTATTTAGTACACGCTTTGTGTGATTAGAAAAGTGTACGACAGCAAATTATCAACTTACTGAGGAAGTCTAAGTAAACGGCATTGTTTTTTGTTCTCATTATTAAATTACCGCTAATATTTTCACTTGATTCAATTTTATTGAACAATATTATTAATGTAAGTGCCCTATTTTAATTATTGCCCCTGTAATTAGAAAATTAGATGGAATATTGTATTTACATGCTGAAAATTCCATATTTGTATCAAAAGTACTGTTTGGGATAAAGCTATTATTATTATTATGGCAAAAGCGAACTTCTGAATAATAATAATAACAGCTTTATTCTGGGCTAAATATCTACACACTGTTTAGAATTGTCAGGGTATTTTATTGCATAATATTTACTCTTCGCCCACGGTTTTCAAGTAAAGTAGTAATCGACAGTATATCACGTGATGCGATACCGGTCAATCTGAAGCAAATGCCAATCAATTCTCTATTATATTTTTCCCGTCTCCTTAGAAAAATATACGGCAGTGGAGTTTTAAAACGAATTAAAAAGGTTCGTGAATGTATCTTAAGACCCGGGGACATATACGAGTGATTGAAAAAAAAATCAGAAACAGAGGAAATTTACTGCCTTATACAGGATGAAAATTCAGGTAGACCGGCAATTTAAGTAAGCCGCTGTTTTAGAAGGAACAGTAATACCCCCAAGGTCACGTCCGTTATCATTACTATATGATCTAAAATCAAGGTAAAGGGTCAACTTTTAAAATCTAATATAAAATCGCAAGCAATCTGTTAGGAATGTTGACGTCCACTTCATAAAGAACCTATCCATTGTACTCAACACCATAAGAATCTTCAAATAGCCAGTGATCACATTCCGGCCATTCATCAAACGCGGACGAAGAATCTAATAATTTGAAGACGACCCGCATAGGAAATAATTTTAAAATACCCGGCTTTAGTCCCAACAATTTACGATTATTCCGTCAAGTAAGTCATCAGCACAAGATTAGAGAATGTTCAACGAAAATTAAAATCTGTTTATTATTATTTTGTTTTTTTGGAAAAATGAAATATAAAGAAATGATTGTAAACAAAAGAAACCATCATTGAAAAAGAAAGCACACAACAGAAAAAGAGCCACAACACTTCTTCCAGTGGTATACATGGTATAGAAAGTTACATTCATCCATCCATCTTTCGCTATAATAATGTAAAATAAAACATTCGAAGCATACGACTCTCAGTGTTTAGACTACACGACTCCGTTGTACAAAATGAAAGGAAACAGTCCCTTGTATATGTGATAATAACAATAATAGGTGTTAGGAGAGGAGGTTCATTCAGTAATTGGATCAGCAATATAAGTAGTTGTTATTCCATCATCTTTATCTAATACTTTTCATAGAGTACTGTATAATTTAACAAGATGGGAAAAAAATGTCTACATGGAAGAGGGAACATGTGAAAATTGGAAGATTGAGAAAAGACTAGTTAGTTAGTCATATTTAAATAAGTAGGTAGGTAGGTAGGTAGATAGGTAGGTAAGTAGATAGATAGGTGTGTATATCATCAAGTCGTCAAACTAATAAATTATTATTATTTTAACACATGTCTCTACACACAAAGGAACACAGACACATGAATATACAGCATGATTGTGTAAAACAGCTTTTTTAAAAAAAGAAATTACAGGAAATAATTCCTAATGATAAACAGAAATTTTCTACTATTATTATTATTAATATCAATATTAATAGTAAGCGAAAAACAATATTAAAGGAAATAATTCGATAGGTACAGAGACGGCGCACTCACAAAAAAAGGGGACAATATATATAAACGATAGGATAAACAAAGAGGATTCGAGACATAGTGAATGTTGCATGGAATATTCATAGAAAAAAAAAGAATTATGCATTTCACAGTTAATAACGAAGTTATATATATATATATATATATATATATATATATATATATCGAAAACTTGAGAGGTATAGGCTAAACACTGATAGAGATAGTATTACGTGCATACACACATACAAAAACACATAAATGTACATTAAATAGTATATGTGAAACTTTATACAGCAGAGAATGCGTAAAGGACTTTTTTACTTGATTTAATGGAATACATCACAATCTGAGAGGATGGCAAGATTCGAGAGATTCGAATTGATGCTTAACTATACACAGAAGACAAACACACAAATGTTTATCAGAGTTACAGAACATGAGTCACCTGGTATATATATATATATACTGTTCTCATTTGAAAGAAATATAAAGTAGTAGTAGGTAGAAAAAGTGACTAATAATATCACTTATGCTGAGGATTGTTTCTAGCCCGATTCGAATGCCTGTAGGCATTATCCTGATGCTGTTGAACTGATGAATTGACTGATGGATTTTTGGCATTTTGGCGAGTATTTGCTGGTCGACCGACATGAAATATGTAAATATTGAGGAAATCAGCTAATTGGATGCATATATCAGCATCGTATAGCATGACGTTCACAAATCCAAATATCTTAGATGGTGGAATAGAGAAGAAAATAAACAACTGGTGATTAATTCATTAAAAATTTTATAGTTTAACTTTCTAAAATAGCAAAATAAAATATCTTTCTGTTTTTCTTTTTTTTGACTAGTAACACAAACGTGCTTTTTAGAAGAAATACTTTCTCAACAACAACAACAAAAAATGTAAGGAATTCATATCTTTCAGAGAAATTCTTTAATCGACATACAACAAACAGTCTTATAGAGTTAAGACGGTAAATAAACTCAGTTGTCATAGTAATATGAGGTGATGATTGATTCTAAATGCATACGTGTTCACATTTCTCAATTTTCCAAAGCAATCACATCATACACTTAAAAGATGAAGTGGTCGATAGCATCACAGTATATCAAGCAAATTCATCCACCTACCTTGGATGAATGACAATTGATGAATCATATCATTATCACCTGTCCTAAACTACTACACTGTATTCTGCAAAAGTGAATTATGCCTAACTGTGAATGTACACAATGACTTGACTGAGTTACGAGGTAGAACTCTGCACAGAAGCGCAAGCAGTTCAAATTGCTACACTTCATGTAGCACACACAGAGTACAGAAAAGACAGAAGAAAAACAGAATTCAAAAGAACTACACCAGAGAAAGAACGTGAGGGTTTAATGGATCTGGGAGATTACAAAGAGTAGTAATGCATCTGTGCCATTGAGAACAATTTTGAGTCATATCCCTAAATGTACGTAGTAGATAAGGATAGAACAGAACGCGAAATAACTAGGTATCAGCTAAAGTTGTTATAAAACATATATATATATATATATCCCAACCGATAGCTGCTACCTTGACGTGGTGGTCGGGCTTGCATACCGCAATGACCCAACGAGCTACATTGGCTGGAACTTATGTTCCTGTAGGTCCTACCATGCCGGTAGGACCTACAGGAACAGAAAGGTTGTTTGGATAGTGGTTAGACAAAAAGCAGCTACCCAATCCAATACTATGATTCAAACAAATTCATAAAATATCATGCCGGATCGGTAGGGGCCCGGATTAACAAAGACCGCGCTTCCTGCTGCCGTGTCACAGGGCAGAAGTGATAAATATGCTACTGAGACACACCAAACAAAAAGGAACCAACAAAAACAGGCCGCGTGTGACCGGCCTCAAGCAGTTGTCCCCTGGGCTCTGCGGTCACGCAACACTAACCTTTTCTCTATTTCAGGTACCCAAAGACTTAACCAACTTCCACGGTGTGGGCAGCCGGGAAGTAACAACCGCCCACACACTTCCAAAAGCACACGAAGCCTACCTGAGCATCACTCTTCCTATAAACATATATATATCAGTGGATAAGCCGGGAAATAAAAACCACAAAATAAAAAAGTAGGAGATAAACCACATAAATATGGCAAAGTTTGCTTAATTTGCATGAAGATAAAGTGTAGGAACGTATTCAACAACCACTCTTATCTACAATCAGCTCGTAGCTACATACATTACTTGGTCTCCAATTATACACTTTAATTGTTCCATGACTCCCCGCAGAAAAGCCTACATTTTTCTGCACAACTTAGAACAATGCTTGAAATCTTAAATGACTAGCGCTACGACATTGACGAATACGTCATGAGCTAATCACTAGTTAATTACTGCTGTTTGGAATAAAAAGATAAAAAACTTAAGCGTTACTGTTTATGATAACCAAGACTTGTTATTCATCACATTCAGCCACTTTTTTCTAATTACACGATCACGTATAATGATAGATACATTTGTGGGAGGCTTACAGTACTAGGCTCCACACAGATTTGGTATGTTTTCAGGACAAAATCCTTGCGCAAAGAAAAACTAAAGCCACTACCACCACCACCGAGCATCTAATCAATCATAAGGTGACAAATAATAATGCGAGTTATAGGTAACAGTCTCTTCTTCTGTCTCTGTTAAATAGACTTCATCATTTTTTCCCTTCACGTTCCCCAGTGGAACATAGGGCTTCAACCTAGTGGCTTGAAGTTTCTGTAGCAGTGTTTATTTTACAGGATGGGGTTGCTAGCCTCATGCCCAATCTTTCCTCTTCACCAGCATTATTTCTGGCCTAGCGAGGTAAAGGAGTGCATCGGTCGGGGATCGAACCCCGGACCATGTGCATGGTCGGCACATGGTCCATAGTTATTACATTTTATGATGTCAGCATCACAATGCGTTCAGTAACTTGTAAAACTGCTTGTTAAAGAGCACAATCTGAAAAATTATGCAATATTACACTTAGATAGTGACATGGATTAAATATAACATATTCAAAGATAGAAATCGAAATTATCCAAAATCTACTTACCATGGATAACCATAGGATTACAAATTCGTTGAAGGGACATTTAAAATACTGATTTACGAGTAACAAGGCAGCTCCAAACATAACTGTGTCAAATAAATTAATAGAACTCTTTGTCATGTGAGCAATCTAAAAATGACAAAATCAATTAAAGTGACTTTCAATAGGCGCACTTGGAAAACATATAAATTCAGTTTGTTAAAATCAACAGAGTTGAGGATGTATTCTCACAGACTAATAATACTACTATTGCATATTTCGTTTTAACCAACCTAAACTTTTCTGAGAAAATATCATTTTTTTAAAAATATTTATGGACTGTTAGTTTTTCAACAGCTTACCCTGTTAATCATAATAGTTTATACACCTTAGCTTCAAGAGCCTATTCCTACAGTGAAAGTTGGTCGGTCGGTCGGTTTTCGACATAGAACTTTGCACATATGTGCGGCAGTTCAAGTCGCCACATTCCATGTAGCACACAAACCAAGAGAAGAAAGTAGAAGAAATGCATAATAGAGACAGTAAACAGAGGTGTGAGACAAAGGAATAGTAATAACGGAGAACAAAACAGTTTAATTGGAAATCATAAGTCACAAGGAGTGGATGCATCTGCGCCAGCCATCGAGAACGATTTTGAGCCATGTCACCAATTGTTTCCAACAATTGGTTTTTACCGTCCCGAGGACCCCAACCAGGAAGTCTACATCTTCCTACGTGGCTTAGACTAACTGTTGTGGATTTCATTGACTGGTGCCATGTTTTGGTTTGACCACCTCCAGCTCTTTTCCAGCCTGGCCCTATATCAACTAACATTGCCCGTCGAGGAAGGCGATGACTAGGCATACGTAACACATATCCTAACCATCTCAGTCGATGTAATTTCACAGTTTCGTCGATTGATTTCCCCTCCTTACCTAGCACTCGACGCCTAACCTCAATATTGCTCACCTTATCATACCACTTCACGCGGGAGATAGAACGCAGACACCTATGATCGAAGACAGCTAATCTTTTCATGTCTTCTGCTCTCAATGGCCAGGTCTCACAGCCATAAAGGAGGACGGAGCGGACTGTTGAGCAGTACACACGCCCTTTGATGACTTTAATAGCGTCAGTCAGAAATAAAAAATGATAATGGAATAAATCCTCTTGTTACATATATATATATATATATATATATATATATATATATATAAGATACAACCAAGGTAGTGAAGAGTAACTAAAACAGCTTTTTAGCTATAAGTTGACAATATATATATATATATATATTTAACACACTATGGGATTAATTTAATCCCATTTTTTTGGCAAACTAAAGTATGTGAACTTGACAAAGTAGAAATGCTCTTCTTAACTACTATAAGACCCATAGAATGAAATTCCTGTATATTATTTAAAAGTCGATATTTTAATTCTTTACATGAGAATTTTTGATTGGACACTAGTCAGTAACTAGTGTAATGTGTGTCTAGTTCTATCTTTGGTGGAGACTGAATTTTATCAGTCAAGCTTGAGATGTGGCCACCGTGCTACGTGGCTTGCCATCACGGTGCACTGTCAATTGTTGGTCAAGCAAGGCTTCCTGCCGATTGTCTCCCACCATATGATACCAACAATTACATGAGAATGAACAAAAAGCAACAGAGTCTAAAAATGATTTATATGGTAATGTTATAAATGTTTAATACAGAAAGATTTTGCTTCAGTGAATGAAATTTACATTTGTGGAAAGAATATTGCAAATAATTCGCGCCATCAATCATTTGGAGTCAATGATTATGTGCCTAAGGTAGTTAGATATTAGATATTTGATTTCTCAAAATAGAAAAGGAATTGTGCAAGATTGGCCACACAAATCAGTAAGTTATAGATGCCTTTGAATTAGTACGTAAGTGAATAAAACTACTGAATACAGGACACAGTTATCAACAAAAAGTCATTGTAGTTCATCAACTCGCCGAAGTTTATTTCTTCAGCACTTCCACTAATCGATGCCTAGGCAGTGTGATGATAATTAAGTATCACTTACGTTTATAAGATGCCAACTGACACGTAAGTACCAGGGTTCGACGTTATGATTTAAAAGTCTTTCTTAATCATTTCAGGCATACTCTTATTTACTCCTACTATTTATAACAACCATAAATAAGTGAATTGCAGTTGACTCTATTTCGAAATAACCTAATTAATCTTTTTCGATTTCCCACCTATTCAATTCCCACAAATGTAGCTATTAAGTACATCGTATTCACAGAGGATACAAAACAAAACTTATCAAAAGGTTAATATTTTTTATAATTAAACTCACCACCAAACGTTGAGAAACTTTAACTACAATAAATCCAAAGGTTAAAAGAAAAATAAAGGGTGACTGATGATAAAGGTTTATCGGAGAATTGACAGCAACTACAACAGCCAGACCAACGGAAAATGCCAGAGGACAGAATGGGAATAAAATACTGGTATTCTGAAATACGAAACAAACAACAACAAAACATGATTGTAGAGTAATAAGCATTATATGTAAGAGGATCTAGAAACGTAATACTAAAAATTACATACATTCCTTCTTTGTACGTCTGCTGACTAAATCATAAATCTAACTACAATAATTGCAGTTAACGAAGTGCTTAGGGTATTCAGTGTGAGTACTTTGACAGACACCAGAATGGGAAAATAAGGGTTGCGCCCCTTAACCTCACCGATTTTTAGATGTAGGTATTCATACTTTTCCGACTGCAGTGTCTTTTGCATAAATTATACGTATTTCTTTTGGATACATAGCGTGGGTTTGAGCTTTTGGATGGCTACTGCCTCGGCTACGTATTTAACGTACTATTTAACCAAATACGCTTCCACATAAAAGGTAGACTATTTCATTTCAACTAGGAACGCATTATACAGATATGAAATACAATTTAGAACGTTACTTTTGAATAGTCATTTATTTATAACTGTCTGGGTTTTTGTCTGTTAATTGACTTATAGTGCAGATAGATGTTATTATTCAAAAACATAATTCCTCGCTAGTTTTTAAATTTTGGTGTAATTACCACCATAAGAAGTAGAATTCGTAGACTTAAAAACATACATGAGGAGTTTAAAATATGTTAACAGAAAGTCAGTGAAACATAAACACTCAGATAGATGTAAATTAGTGCTTCAGTTCACTTCAGTCTTCTGGTTTACGGCACTATTCGGCTGATCAAGCCAAAACAGATACGGTAATGAAATCCAAGAACACTAAAAGATGAGTCCTCAAGCTGAATCGTCCCTCAGTGGATGAAGTGAGGCAAGAGTGACTTATTAATCAAGCATTCTTGTATTTGAGAAAAGTAAACTATTTATCAATCTCAGTTGGAATGCTGTTTTATCTGTACAAAGGGTTTACCTGCTTTGAATAACAATTTACTGACCTATCAATCTAGACAAACAAACTAAACTCTGCAGTCTAAAACGCAATGCACCGACATTTATGCGGCTGTAGATCAATTCTAAAAATTTGTATCATCTTGACATATACTTATTTTCAATGCCTTATTTTAAATGTGATTGATTAAATCCCCCTTATATCAATGATTGATTAAATGTAAACATTCAGCGCATAGTACCCATTTAGACCTCAGAGGTAATATGGCTTTTAACAGTTTTCATCATGGTGGGATATTGAATTATACAAACTTGGCAAACTGTGTCCCCTATTCCAAAAGTCCACATTTAGAAGCCAGCGTTATATTCCACTCAAAAATTTAGTCAGTCAAATAACATGACAGTTGTCACCTACAAGTGTTGAAAGGTATGCCCCCACAAATCTTTATATAAATGGGTAAGTGTAGAAGAACGTCCGACTGTTAGCTGAAGTGTTTCACAAAATAATTTAAAAGGAAACAGCTTCTCCAAATAACTATAAAATTTCCCTACTGGCAATAGAAATATCCTAAACATCGACCTTACCAAAAATACAACATTTAAGTGCTGACAAGCTACACAACTGAATTTATTAGTGGACGTTATGCTGCCAATAAACTGATTTCATCTAGTGTTTAGTGGTTACAGCTATACATGGTATTTACGTGTGCTTTGTGTCCAGTAAAATGCAAAATATATAGGATATATAGGACATAACTTACAGCAATCGTCGCTCCATATTTACCACAACCACCCTTTGAAATTGTACCGCCAAACTGAACGATGATGAGAAGCATAAAAGCGGAGAACGCCAAGAACTGAATGACCCTGAATTCTATACTGAAAATTGGGTCCTGTAGAAAATAAGTACATTTCAAGACTAAACAACGCATTTCTTAAGGGATAATGAATTTAAACACAGTCATATACTACGAGTAAAGCCACATGCCAAGATTATGAGAAACTAGTCATGACCTTTGCAATCATGAAGAAAACTCACAAGAACGGGTAGTTTTACATGCAAAGGAAATAAATAGACAATTCAGCCTTCATGAATAAAGCCACTTATTCAGAGAAAAGCCACTTATTAACATTGGTTTTGTTTGTCTCCTAGCTAATAAAATCGAAAATCTATTTTTACCAATCAAGAAACAATCAGTAACTTAATCCTGGTTACCAAATATGGTGAAAAATTCTAGGTGAAAATAAACATTAGTAGTCACCAAAAGTTCTTGCACAAACTATCCGGGTTAAGGACTGTGAGCACTGAGTTCGTAGTTAAATTGTATATTCAAATATTTAGACTTCTAAGGAGGACAATTTTGCGTTTCCCTAACCCTAAACCCAACTCCAAACTTAGCCCAATCTCTAAATCCTAACCCATATTTCAGCCTTAACCCTAACCCTATACGCTGAAAGCAGATAAGCGAGATTAGCTGCGAAATTGAAGCAAAACATATAAGACATTCACGACTGTTTACTTAAGGTTATTAGGTGGCTGCTAAAGTCCGCCATTTAATTCTAGTTCAAAACAAAACATTTGCTTGCAAAGCTGAGCTGATAACCACGCGAAATTTTACTTAACATCGAAAATCTACTCTTTCATATTTATAACTATACATTGGTAATGAAGTTCGTGGGCCAGGACGTTATTTTCGACCTGACAATACTTGCACCGAACGAAAGTAAAGTGACGAAAGAGATGTTAACCCTTTTCTTAAAATTAAACTAACTCTACACAAGAAACGATGTGAACGAAATGATAAGGAAACCCCGATCCCTTCAACACACTAGACAACAAAACGGTTGAGTTTGATAAATCTGCCAAGCGACCTGGAGAATTCACAGACTAATTAATCGTAGGTAATTTTCCTTAGTTGCATGTACATAAGGCAACACTATGTAAAGAACGAAAAAAAGTCAAAAATATGTAGATTTTAAAACTGTAACCTCAAATTTGTTAGTGAAACGATCTTAAGGAATACTGGGTTTTTGAAACAGTTTACGGGTAGGATTAGCTTGAATGGACTGTTTGAGAGCGAAAGAGAAAAACCCCATTATGAAATCTGCAGATGACAAAATGCACTTACTTTAATACTCCAAAAAGAAGATCCAAATATTGATGTTATCATAGATGTTACCATGCCGATTACAAGGCCTTCAGTCACCCCAACCCTATAAACCACTAAGCAAGAATAATGCATATTTACCGATCAAACGACAGAATTCCTGTGACGTAACACCGCCAATGAGCTAAATAAAATAAGGACTGTATACAGAAGTATTGTATAAACATTAATACAGGCCAATCGTTGAAACCAATAGTGATGAAATAACCAATCGGTAGAATACCTAAACATAATTAATATGTATAAAAACTTACATGTTGATATAGCATCACATCCATGATCGAATAATTCTCCTAGTTGGGAGCTGGAACCTGTGCGACGGGCATGTAAACCATCTAACGCATCTAAGGTTTGGTATATAAAAACACAAACCGCGAACAGTAGTGAAGTTATTGGGCCAGCCTTAAAAATATTAAGTATTTAACATCGTTACTTACTCCGTATATAAGAAGTAAACAAATCGAAAATAAGTTAGCAAGAAGACCAATTAAAGTAAGAGTATTCGGAGCGATGTATGTGGGAACATATAGTGAAGACTTCAACCAAAAATCTTTGAAAATGCTGTCGCATATACTTCCTCCTTCACAGTGATACTTATGCTCAAGCAAACGATTTAGTTGGTCCTTGGAAAGAGATTTTGACGTCCTCCATGGGGCCATCCCCCTACTTGATGAAATATTTTGTACAGTGCGCTCTCAAATGCTTCATGGTCAGCCTGACAGCGCGGCTTTCAAATAGCAGATGACTTTGTTGAATACTCTCTTACCTAACTTCAGGATAATGTAGAAAAAACGGATGTATATCTCACCATATCATGACTCAATAGGCAAAAATAAGGAAGAGAGTTGGGAAGTTTACTAGTTAGCCAATCCATGAGGTTTTAGACAGAATAAATATTACATCTAAAAAATTATCCAATATCCAATATCCTGATTACGAGCTAGTATAAACCAGTGGTTTCTTTGAGCTCGCTTTTTGATTGTAAGGTAGAGGTTCCAGATCTTCGGTGATCTTATGCGTAGTAAGACCCGCCACTCGACTGCTTTAGCTCTGGTAGACTCCAAGAGGAGTGGTGCGAGGATTGGTCAAGATGTGGTTTGTAGTGTGCAGTATGTTAGGACTCAGTTGCTGCCGTGAATGGAGTTTGACCTAACACCCGTTGGTCATTCGGTGTAGTCATAAAAGCAGAATAGTAATACTAACAACAGGTTGTAGTGTAGATAATATAGGTTGAGATAAGTGAGATAATAAAGGTGAAATAATAAAGAAAGAAAGAAAAGATAGGGTAGTCGGTACAGTGGGAGAAGACAGGACGGGTCGTGGGGATTTAGCTTGTATGCTTATCCATTGACAATGTGGTTTCAAATTTTAAGAGGGTAAGCCATTGAGACACAAACCATGAATTTCTGCATGATTGTCCAGCTTCCGCTTAAAAGTCTCCACAGATGGAGCTGTAGTTACGGCCGCCGGTAAAGCGTTCCAGAGACGGCAAACTCGAAGAGAGAAGAAATGCGAACGCACTCGAGTCCTTGGTTTCTGGTGTGCTATCCTTAGCGGGTCACCTCGTGGAAGCCTATAATCACTTAATGGCAGGATGCTCTTATTAGGATGGGCCTGGTCATTTAAGATCTTATAGACGGTGATGAGGTCTCCCTTGTGACTACGGTAACTAAGTGTGAAAAGACTTAATTTCTTTAGTCTTTCCTCATATGATTTGTTGCGGAGGCCGATCACCCATTTTGTCGCTCGTCTCTGGACACTTTCTAGAATGTTAGCATCCCTTTTGAGTAGCGGAGGAGCAATGATATTATGCACCTCAAGGAGTGGCCTCACGTATGTCGTATACAACGTTAGGAATAGTTCAGGAGTAAGAGCTCCCAGCTGCCTATGCATAAAGTGTAAAGTGGCGTAAGCTTTGGCGACGTCCCTCGTGTAATTTACACTGGTGTCTAGCTTTTCTGTTAAAATAAGGCCTAGATCGCGTTCTGATAGCACACAACTCAAGTTCTGGCCACCAAGGGTGTAATTTGCACTCTGTGACCTGCCGGAATGAAGCTGCACTACTTTGCACTTCTCTAAGTTGAAGGGCATTCCGTTAGCCAGAGCCCAGTCCCCCAGCGTTTGCAGGTCAGCCTGCAATCTGTCGGAGTCTTCCGATAAGTTTATTGCTCTCCAAATCTTTACGTCGTCAGCGTAAAGAAGCGCAGAGCAATTCAGTTGACGGGGCAGGTCGTTGATAAAAATCAGAAACATCAACGGCCCTAAGATAGAACCCTGAGGAACCCCTGATGCCGAGGTGTGCCAGGATGATCGGATGCGGCTGACTTTGGTGCATAATTCTCTCTCGCCTAAATAATCTTCCAGCCATGCGAGAAATGCCCCAGAAACACCCACTTTGCTTATTTTGTGAAGGAGCAGACCATGGTGAACTTTCGGAAAATCCAGAAAGATCACATGGACTGGTACCTTTACATCCCAGGATAGTGTCCAATCGTTCCAAGCTAGTAGAAGATTCGTCACACAGGATCTTCCCCTCCTGAAACCGTGCTGTGCTCCATGGAGTAGGTTAGTCCCGTCGAAGTATTTTCTCATGTGGTCGTCAATGAGACTTTCCAATATCTTCGATATCACTGGGAGTAGCGCAACTGGTCTGTAACTGGTCGCGTTCTGCCGGTCACCACCCTTGAAGATGGGGGATAGGATGGCTCGTTTCCATTCAGATGGAAGTTTCCCTACATCAAAGGAGTGTTGAAACAGATCGCTTAGGGGTTGGCAGAGACTTTCTGAACACTGCCTCAGGACGGATGGTCTTATGTCGTCGCAACCTGCAGACTTTCCCGAAGCCAACTTTCCCAATTTTACGAGTACCATAGCCGGGGTAATTTGAAATGTACCCAGCAGGTTTTCGCACGTTGGTCTTGCATTGTAATCTTGATGTTTTGTGGGGGTAAAATCCTCGTTACTGTTCAGTTGCCTGTGAAAGACTAGACTGAATGTCTCTGCCATTTCAAGACTAGTAAGAGGTTTCCCATCAAAACCCACTAGATTGCAAGCTCCCTGGTTGGTCGGTTTTCTTTCAGACATAAACCTGTATGGGCTTTTGGGGTTCACGAGAAGCTTATTGGCGAGGTTTCTCTGAAATGTCCTTCTATCACTCCGGACTCGTATGTTACACCGATTCCTGAGTTCGAGGTACACTTCATGTTCGGGTTGGCTCTTCGATACTCGCCACGCAAATCAGGCTTTTCGCTTCGCCTGTAGAAGGCGTTGTGTCCCCCTTTTTAGCCATGAACGTTGCTTTCTAGCTTTAGGTGTGACTAAAGGAACAGTGTCTGAGACCGCCTGGTGAATGATCTCCTTTACCACTCCCCAGTGTTCTTCTACTGTAAGCTCTGTCCAATTTTTTGGCCAATTTGCTTCAGACAAAAGTCTTCGCATTTCGGTGTAATTGGCTTTTTTATAACACAGATAGGGCTGTGTATTGTCCCACTGTAAACGCTCGCGGAGGACTATGTCGAATGTTATGACCGCGTGGTCACTACTACCTATGGGAGTCGTGATCTGAACGTTTTCCACTAGTAGCTGGTCACTAGTGAGCACATAATCCAGTCTAGAAGACTTCCCATCTGGGCCCCATCTAGTATCCATTCTGACATTTTCGGTGAATCCGGCCTCCCTGATGGTATGCAGCAGATTTCGATCAAATATATCCTTGGAATATCCCGTCATCAAGTTAAGAGATGGGGCATTGAAGTCCCCAGCTATGACAATTTTATCATAACCCATGTCTTGTGTCGCTGAAATTGCATTCAGCAGTACCTGGTTGTGGTCTGCTCCACATGAAGGTGATCTGTAAATGCTGCCCACTAGATACTTGCAGTACCCAACGGTGAAATGGCACCATATGGAGTCAGGGAGCTCAATAAGGGGAGGGTCGATTGCATGGACACATCTGAGCTGTTTGTCGACGTATATGGCGACTCCACCTCCTTCTTTCAGATCCCTATCTCGCCTGACTAGGACCATATCATTTATACTGACTTCGCTGTCTGCCACCGTATGAGTTAGCCAGGTTTCCGTCAGTATTATGATTTTGGAGTTCAGCTGTGATTGTAGGTATCTAAGTTCAGCTATTTTGCCTCTTAGACCTCTCACATTACTGTACAGGCAACTGGTAGTCAGTCTCACCACGTCCCCGTATTAGGGGGTGGTTGACGTGATGTGGGCTGTCGGTTGAGGAGTTATCCTACGAACTAGTTGGCCGATTCCCCGGGAACCGGCCTGTTGGCGTTTTTTTCTTCCGGCTCAGTCGGAGCACTTGGATGACACTGGCTATCATCGTCCGTGCTGCACCGCTGTATTGTGACTAGGGGTTGGGGATGTTCTATGACAACGTTTTGTTCTCTACTTTGGGTACGAGGCCGGCTTTCGCAGCAGCGAATGTGTCTGCTGACCTTGTCCTTGGTCTCGTACCATCTCTGGAGAGCAGTAGTCAAGTGGTCTCGGGAGCTGAACTTAACAGCGAACAGACGTGGCGTGTTAATTGACATAAGATGAGTGGGTCGAGGCAGTCTATAAATAGAGACAGCCCCTGAACTTCCCAGACCCATCTGGGATGCCAACCATCTCCATTACTGGACATCGTGACAGTGCTTCTCACAAGCGTTCCCAGTTTCCAGTTCAGGAATGCCGTGAACAACCATGGAGGCAGAAGGAATAAGCTCTGGCGACTCCCTCGCCATCTGTCTTTCCTTCCATGGCCTATCTGGCCTAACACGTATATTGCAGGTCCTCCCTATAGAAAGGACTTGGGAAGTCAATAAAACTTTTCCGGCATCTTCGGCAGAGCCTAGTGTTACCCTCAGTGGGGATGGTTTGCCTTGAGGAGCAGCAGTGCCCCTATACAATCTGCACAGTTTTACTGGTTGGATGTCCAGACCCAGTGTGCTACGTAAGTTGGACCACTGTTCCTGATCAAACAGGGCCCTGTTTTCCAGCAGACTACTGCTACATTCTGGTACATTAAAGAGGATAACGCAGTTTGATCGACTAACCATGGGTTTAGGTTCAGTCCTCGCACATTTGTCATCTCCCTTGAGACCGTTTTGTTTCGTCTGGTGCAACTGGGTGTTGTTATTTGTCTCAGTGCTGTGGCCACTTTTACTGGTGGACGGTAAGGGTCTTTTCCCAGCGACAGGTACCCTTGGTGCTTCAACCTCTGTGTCTGGGGCAGTTATGGCAGGAATTGCAAGTATAACCGGTGTGGATTTTGGTATCCCCGATTTACATGCAATTGTGCTGTTTTCTAAGTTGGTGGGAGTAAAACGTTTCACGTTTTCTCCTAATACCTCTATGCCATCTGTAGCTTTCGAGGAACTACACGAGGCTGCATTAGGACGGCAACTTGGGCATATGTACCAGAACCATGGGCATGGGTTCTTACGCATAAAATCGTAATATACCTTTGGTACTCCGGTGTCACATCTACAATGTACCCATTGCTTACAAAAGTTGTATTCGAAAGCAGAGTCTACTTGTTCGACAATAGAATTGCAGACCTTGCAATCGTCTGCTTTCTTGGGGAACGTTTTCGTCGTCTTGCGACGTCGTGAACGTTTCTTATTGACCTTCCTGTTTGTTTCAAGGCCTACTGTGGATATGGGTGTCATGCTATTCCCACTTTGTGCAGATTTACCACTCGCCTCTATTAACTTAGTCGTGTTAACAGGGATGGAGCCACATCCGCTTAGTTGACTTTTCACAGTTTCACTGTAGGACTGCGGCGACATGGGCAATCTGTCCACGCAG